AAAACATGGGAAAAAAATCTGAACTGAAATGACATGAAGCAGGGATGGTCATGTGCTTGAATTATTTTTGGACAACTAAATTGACCGATAAAAATGTGTTTTTACTGTTTTGGTCAAAAGTTCTGATTGGTATTGAAATTTTCAGTTCATTTGCGTGAAGAATTTGATTTCTAGATTTGAAATCAGATTCTCCAATTTTTTATTGCATCGACAGTTAGTGTTTTTAGTCTTTATAAGTAGATGTGTTTTTCTTTATCATAAAATTTCTACTTCTTCCTACTCATATGGTGTTCTCTACTTTTTCCTACTCATATGGTCTTCTGTAAATTTTTCAAAGTCTTGGCTGGAATCAGTGGCTAATTAAGAGTTGCTCCATTTGTTGAGGCCAATATTTGATAGTTTTTGAGATTTTTGATATAAGGAAGGTATGAGTGGCTACAATCTTTCTTTTTTTTCTTGTTCGTTTCTTTTATTGAACCTATTTGTAATTAATTTTTGGAAGTAATTTAATTTTAAACACAATGTTCAAGTGCTTATTATCAATTATGTTTCACCACCTTGTGTTTGGATATGGTATTCTATCTTGTTATTTTGGGTTGAGGTTAGTTAAATTTAATGTTTTAATTTTAGAAAATATAATTTATATTTAATCATAAGATTTTAAAGTATTTAAATGTGTTATTTGTTATTCTATCACAATTTTCATTTCCATTAGTATGGTTTTACTGTTCTAATTAATTAATTGAGTTTATTTTCACTTAGTCAAGGTACCTAAATTTTTCATTTCTGATGCATCTGTCCCACTCAAATAAGTAATTTCTCCTTTATTTTTTTGAATTAGAAGTCAACCAAACCAAACTACAATTATGTTGTACAAATTTTTTCCTTAATTTTTTTTAGAAATCTAGTTTAGAAAAAAATAAAAAATTTATGATTAGTAATTACTAAGTAAACTATGATTAATGTAATTAATTAATTGATTATACAATTAATTACTATGTGGTAAATGGACAGTCAAGATTACTTTTAGAGCAAAATGGACAATGAAGATTACTTTGATAGCCATGTTTCGGACAATCAGCCAGATTTTGACAGTCAAATGGACAATCAACCAAACTTTGAGATCCAAATGGATAGTCAACCATACTTTGATAGCCAAATGGACAGTCAACCATACTTTGACAGCCAATATGATGGTATAGTTTCTTTTTCCTTTTCCCTCCCATTAGTTTTTAATTCATGTTGGTGCATATCATTTACTAACATATTACTTAATTTTATGTTAATTTACATAGGAATTGTTGAAGATCCTCCTGAATCATTATGGGATTGTCCATCTCGAATTCCTCCAAGGAAGAAGTTGACAAAAGCAAGGAATCATATAGCAATGCCCCAAGACATTCCATTGCCTAAAAAAGAAGACAACGTTATTTGTCAAATATGTGATATTCCTGGACATTTAGCTATTATATGCCCGCACTGATATGCAGTAACTTGTCAACTGTGTAATCATGAGAGTCATACTGCAAAAATTTGCCCAAATCGTTACCTTCTATATGAAGTCATGTCAAACTCATCCAAAATAGCTGCTGAGTCCTCTGAAACTATTACAAAAATTTTAGGTAATGGTCGTTTGCATCTTACATTTACTAAAAAGTCTTAGGATGAGGCATCTGAAAAACTACGTTCTATTCAAGAACCATAGTATATTTACCTTATCTATATTCTGCAACATATTTCCTAATTTTTGTTATCCATGTATGAGATTAGGGCATAGTATTTTAATTAGTATTCTATGCCATAACACTTTAATTATAATATTACGTTATCCTTTATATTTATGTGCTTCAATTATATATTTTAATATATGTTTAGAATACAAAGCTAATTATATTATATTAATTATAAATTTTATCTAAAAGAGCTTGAAAGAAATTAAGTAAAAAAGAAGAGGAATTAACATCAAAAAGCAAGAACTATAGGATTAAGTAGAAGCCTTACCAAACTATTTCGGTCAAAACACATGACAACCTGGCTGGCTATTCAAGAAAAACAAAATGTGCAGGAAACTCGCAAAGCTGGCTTTACGCTTTGCATCCGGCTCTACGAGAAAAACTGAATGTGCAGAATCCCGTAAAGCCGGTTGCAGAAATCGTAAGTCGGTTGTACAGAGCCAGCTTTAATAACTTAAGCCGGTTGTCCTGAAAAAACTGCATTTCAAAAAAATAAGAGATTATTTCGGTCATACTTATTGACCAAAATAATCCCAACAAAACCCCCCCCGAAGTTGGAACAAAGCACCATATGTTTATGCATATTATTTCGGTCAAAGTAATTGACTGAAATACCCGTTACAATATCCCATGCACCAACAACATGGTGGGTGCTGTTTTAGTCAACAGTATTAGTTCGGTCAATAAAAATGACCGAAATAAGGGCAACAAACGCAATGCCAGCTTAACTACTGTCAGAAAATTTTGGAGGAATTTTGAATTTCCCTCGTCATTCAATTTGGTCATAATATTTGACCGAAATAATCTCATATTCCCGCTGACTCGCGGTTTTGAAATTTTTGCTTTTTATTTTGGTCAATATGATTGACCGAAATAGTGCATAAGTGTTTCTATATATAGTGGCACACTCTTTTCTTTCATTTATTCTTCTTCTCTTCTTCAGTTCTTTCCTCTTTTCCACAAAAATTTTAGGAATATATTGTTAATCTTTTATTTCTCTTAATTTTAGTTAATTATTTTTCAATTTTCATTAAATTTGTATTTCTTCATCTTAGTACCCTTCTTTATTTTTTTATTTCAAGTTTAATTTACGTTCTTTAATTTTTTTTTTTATGCTAAACTAATATTAGTAACCCCTTTTTGTTTACCATATCTCTTTTCCTTCCATTTTCTTTGATTATCTAAATATTGTAAATATTTTGTAACATTTTATCAACTTTTATGTCTATATGTTTAATGTTTATACTAATGATTTAATGTTTTCTTTGAAAAGGCTACCTAATTTAGTGAAGAATGGAGCAACATTATGGAGGTAATTAACTTTATTACCATAATTAATATAGGTTAAAACCCCTTTTTGGTCCCTGAACTATTGTACGGACCCCCGATTTGGTCTCTGAACTAAAAAAATCCCTGATTTGGTCCCTACTGTTTACCATTTTTACCCCGATTTAATCCTTCCATCAAATATCAACCTACGTGTCCCATTACTTGACGGGGAATGATGACCTGTTAAAACATTTTGACACCTAGGATGTACAGTGTGAAAAAAAATGAGATGGCAAGAAAAAAATCTTAAAAAATTTCTTATTCCTTTTTTTTTTTTCTTCATTTGTTTTTCCTTTTTCCCTTTGTTCTTTCTCTCTTCTTTCCTTTAACCTTCTTCTGCAAACCCTAATTCCTAATATTAAATTCGAGGATAACACAACAAATCAACAAATTAAACTCAATAGATATTTGACCCAAGGGCTGCTGGGTTCAAAACGAAACCCAAAGCCTCACTTGCAGGAACTTAGCAGCTGCTCAAACCCACCTCCTGCTGGGTTCGATTTCGAACCCAGCACCTACAAACGAACCCAACACCTGCAAAAACCTAGCATTGGAAATTGAAAAATCAAACCCAGCATCGAACCCCAACACCTAACACCTGCAGTAATGCCTTCTTCATCTTCATCAATCAATTTTTTCATCACAATCAAACAACAAAAACAGAAATATTTTTTTTAAAAATTTTTTGCACCTGGGTTCACAAGGAACCCAAGCGTGCTAGGTTTGTAGGAACCCAAACGTGAACCCAGCACGCTTGGGTTCCTTGCGAACCCAG